CCCCAAAACCCCAAAACCCCAAAACCCCATTGTCTCGAATTTTTATGGCAATTAACTTAAATTTTTAGAAATAGAAATTTCAGTTTTCTTAAGGTATTTTTAAAATAGTTACAATCTTTTCCAAATTTTTCCAAAGCTAAATCTCAAGGTCACCTTCATCCTCTATATAGCCCTTTATGTATTCTACTCCAAACATGCTTCTAAGTTCATCCTCTCTTGTTAAATCGATATAAAATTTAGCTTCAGCTGCATCTTAATCTTAATTATCACCACCTTTGCTTTAATTTTGGTAAATTCTCAGACATTACTTATCCTCTAGATATTGCTTAAATCTTACTATAAGCTATTCGACTCTAACAATAACTTTAGGCAGTTTTATCAGTTTAGCTAGTTCAAGATGAACCTATACCAATTTTATGCTATCATTAGCATAATTTTTCTAAGGTGAGGTAAGTGCACTATTGCTAACACTATCATCATGGGTACTTCCTTAAGAGCTTGTTTGTTTTTTAGGACTCAAATCGTTTTAAGTTGAGTCAGCTTATTATTATTGTTATTATTAATTTTAAAGCTATTGCTACTTTTATAGCATATTATTTTATAAGATCTGTTCTACTAGCAAATGCATTCTTAATCCAGATATTTACTTTGGCGGTGAAGCAGTCACAGGATTATTTAGAGGTTTAATTTATTGATTAATTTTAGGCATATTTGCTAATGGAGAGTAGCCTTTAGCAAAGATGTCCCTTTCATTAGATTTTTATATTGCTTTTTTAATTTTCTTTTTCTTGTCAATTTGAAATTTATCTGATATCAATTTGTCAAATTTATTTTTACTGTCCTTGCTATTTTTTGAAGATTTTTCATTTTTATTCTATTTCTTATTTTCTCTTTTTTTATTAGAAGTTTCTTTCTTTTTAGTTTATTTTTTATGTTTGGCTTCATCTTCCTCTTCCTCATCTTCTGCATCGCTTTCTTCATCATCTTTTTCATCGAATGATGATTATTCACTTTTTTATTTTATTTATTTTTTATTATTTAAAGCCTTATCAGTTGAATTTTCTTTTTTCTGCTGCTTTTAAACTTGCTCAGATGAGGAATTCTTTTTCGCAGACCTTGTTTATCTCTTATCATCCGTACTTAAATTTAAGGTGATTTTAGGTTTTTTCTTTTCTTAAGTTTATGTATTATTCTATGTGTTATCACTTTTATAATCTTAAATCATTTTAATTGTGCTACTTCCATCATCTGAGACACATAGAGTCTTTGTATCAAATTATATTATTTTACTTTGCACTTTATTATCTTTGCTATTTTCTTATTTTTCCAGTAGCTATAACTTATCTTTGCATAATTTCTCTTAGACAGGCTGCTTTTATTTAGGAACTACTTTTTATAGCTTTAATTCTCTATCCTTTCGTTCTTTTATGTAATTTTTTCCTTCTTTTAAATGATCTTCGCAAAATATATAAGCCATTCCAAACAAGCATCAACTATACTAATCATCCATTTCTGCTCTAGTTTTTATCAAATGAAGTTATACTGCACATCTTACATGATACTTCAACTAACAGTTGCCAAAATCACATCTAATACTATAACCTGCTGAGTCTTTGCAATGATCACATTCATGATTATCTTCGAGTTTTTTTTCTTCAGGCAATTTATCTAACTAATAGACTATTTCATTATTGATCAAAAGAAAAGAACAAGTGCTGTTCCAGTTAACACAGAGAACATGAACCCAATGATCAACTAGAGGCCCTCCTACGAGTTGAATCATTATCCCTTGAGGATCATTACAAAACAAGCAAAAAGGCTTACTAATTTTTTCCAATTTTCCTTTCTTTTCAATTACATCACAGTATTCTCTTTTTAAGTACTTGCATCTTTGGCATAGCCACATATCCTCTGGAACTGAATGTTTCAAATCTAAACCATAACAAGATTAATGGACTGCAGAAAGGCACAATTCACATATCACTAGTGCATTTTCTTCATATGAATTTGGGTCTAAACATATATCACATTTTAAGTTATCGTCATCATTATTTTCTTCTGTAACAATCTCCATGAAATAAGCTTGAATCTCTTTGATTTCAAGCTCTTTTTTAACCAACCAATCTTAGCGAACTTTTTCGGCTAATTCTTATAGAAATTCCTTGTCATTTTTTATTTTTCCTCTGTGATTTTTCAACTCGACTTCAAAATCTTTTAACAATGGATTAGTCACATATATTCTTTTGTCAGGATCCCAAACAGTAGCTTATACTCCCATTTTCTTGCAAAGCACTTGCTTCTCCTCCAACTCACTTAACTTTTTGAGGAACTATTCTTGTTACTAATTCACCTATTTTTGAGTTTTAAGCTCAGCGTTTTCATTTTACTCAATTAAATCTTCAAAGAACTAGTTATATTAATCTTACTTCTGCTACTATTCTTTCAATTATATCTAAGCATCTCTAATATCTTGTGATAATGTTTTGCTATTTTTTATTTCTTGGGTTTAACTTGCTGAGGAAACTGGATCAGTATTAAGATCCTAATCTTCTTGCATAAGTTAATCTAGATCTTATTCCATGGTCTCGAAAGTTAAATTCTTAATTCTATTACGCCTTTAAATTTACTTTTTATTCACCAAATTAATTATCCTAACCTTTAAATTACTACCTTATCCATTCTAATGGGGTTTTGGGGTTTTGGGG